TTGTCTCCTCTCATCCTCCCTTCCCCTCATCGGGCTGCCCTCGGTCTCCCTGCCCTGTCCCATGCCGCGTAGCCTCCTGCCTGCCTGGCCTGGGGCGGGAGGACGGAGGGAGCCCAGCCTGGCGCAGCCTCTCCTGCTGTCTCTTACATTTACAGATGTGCCGTCTCTTACATTTACAGATGTGCCTTCTCTTCCCCGGCCTCTCCTCGGCACGGTCCGTGGCAGTGACTTCTGAGGGGCCTAACCTCCAAGAGACGCTCGGATCCAGGTTTTGGCTGCGGCGGCAGGGTGAGGGCTCGCATCCTGGCCCCCGCCTTTGCCGTGGTACCTTGCCGAGGAGGAGGCTGGTCCCCAAGGAGCACGAGCGCTTTCTTAAATAAATAACCCTGAATTCCCAGACACCCGCTGTCCTTGCACAGCAGCAAAACAAATCTATCCGAGGAATCGGGGTGATTAACGGAAAGAAGCTCTACGGCAGAGAGAACATTTTTCATATAAAACATGACATAGCGATGCCTTAAAAATTACTGGAGAAAGCGGGAAGGGGAGGGCTGAGAGGGGCGGGCGCCGGGCGACCCCAGCTGGGCGCGGGGCAGGAGCTCCCTCCTCTCGCCCATCACCACTGACTCTGGTTTTATTCGGTTCTCATCAACACTAACAATTCATTATTACAGATTCTCACGTGATGCTTGACTGTAATTAGTTTTCAAAAAATGGGATTAAAACCAATAAAATGCACATTATACATCTGGTTTAGGCTGGCTTTTTTTTCCACCCCCGTCCTCCTCTCGTGCTCGCAGCGAGCAGCTATTCCTGGAGGGGACGGCCGTGACGGATGGGGCTGCAGGCCAAGGAGAAATGGCAAGCGGAGAGGCTAATGGAGACCCTCACCTCTTCTTCTCTATTAGCCTCCTGCAACTCTGGGTGGTAGCTGCAAGCTCAATTAAAACATCTGTACTTTCCCCTTCTCAATTACGGCTCCTTACACTTAAAACCAAACAAATTGAATTGTTCCACCGCCTCGGGCTGCGAAGGCAGTTTCTGCCAACAAATTTATTATCGCCGTAAAGCGCAGCTTGATTTATGTTAAAATATTAAAGCAGATCTTTATGATGGAAATAAACACTTTCTGCTGTGATTCTCTCAAAGGACCTCACAAGCGGCGGAGGATTTTGGGGCTTGGGCCGTAAATCTGAGATCAAACTGGCATCGGGGATGGATTCGGTCTTTTGCAGCACTTTGAAGAGCAATGGCCAGGGAAGGAAAAATAAAAACCTCGAGCCTGAGAGGCAGCTTTAGACGAGGCTCGAACATCGCCAGGGCGCAGCGTGTCGCTCGGGGGGGGTTTGCTGTTTAAAGGTTCGTGGGAAGGCGCTCGCCGGCCTTTTCCCCGCGTGGTTTGGGCAGCCGGGCCCTGACCCCAGGAGCTGTCGGCAGCTTGGGGAAGGGCACCGGGCCGCAGGGGCTCCGCCCCGGGGGGTGCCCGGGGGCCCGGGGGGG